CCCCCCCGCCCAACTTTGCCCAAGCAGTCCAGTCTCCTAGAGAGCCTCTTGGTCTTTCTTGGCCCTCAGTTCTAGGAGGCGTTTCCCCTGCCCAGGAAATTCTTCCTGCCTCCTGGTTTCAGAGATCCCCCAGTTTCTCTGAGGCCCTATGGCTTGTCTGGGGAGCTGCTCACAAGCCTCCAGCCCTAAGACATTCTGGAGCTTGCTGTCCCCCTCCTCTAGCCCCCAGACTGAGGGGCTTGAGTCTGACCCTCTGGAACCACCTCAGGCTTAAGAGGATTTATTGACATAGGGAAGGGGCCCCCTCAGCTCTCTAACTCAGGGGAGGTGGGGCAAGGTGGTGCCAGCTGTGGCCAGGCTCCCCCCAGGGCCAACCCACCCAGCCTCCACACTTCCTGTTTCCTCAGCACCGCAGGACTCTTACTTTTCACGCTAGTCACATGGATTTGTCATGAGTTGACTCATATTCAGACTGGGACGGGGGCTCCCCTGAGACCCAACCACAGGGAGTTTGTGGCTTAGGGCCAAGGCCTAGCTCTGCATATCCTCGGTGCACACCTTTGCAGGCCAGGGCCCTGGAGACATCATCTAAAACTGAAGGTCAGCTTCCACTTGGAAAAGTCCACCTGTGGGGATGCTGCTGGCTGGGAGCACAGATGAGTGACTTCTAACCCACGACACAGAAGAAATGGGACATCTCTGGGGCAACAGTCATGAGAGATGGTAGTCTGGGCTCCTTCCTACCCTGTAGGTGAAATTTCTCACTGGCTCAATTTAGCCAGACTCCTTAACATCTCTGGGCTTCCTCTCCTGTGTAGTGGATGGGGTTCATGATCCCTTCATCACCAGGTTTGAGGAAGGTGAAGGTAGCTCTTGGTGAGGAGGCCTGGCACTGGTCCTTCGGCACTGGCTGTTGGGGGTCCAGGGTGAAGCTAGAGGGAAGGTCAGGTATGAGCCACACTGTAGCCATGGCATGAGGCTCCCGGGTGGGCACAGGATCCCACACCTCCCAGCAACAGCCCTGGCCACCACCTTTCCCACATTCCTGCCTCCAGGGGAGCTTCAGGCTGGGCTACAAGCTGTATCCTTCCCCTCAGGGCTTGGAAAATTGCTCACACTGCCACCTGTCAGTCCCCTGCTCATCCATCTGCCCACCAGGAGGAGTCTTAGATACCAGGGATGATGAGCCTGCCTTCTGTCCTCAGGCAGACAGGAGTTAATGCTCTAATAGTGGTGGCTCCTTCTTTGTGGCTGGCATGGATCTGGCATCACAGCCACTTCCTGAGGCCGATGCCTCACCTCTGACCAGAGGCCTCTCCTGGCCTCCTGGGGCAGCGCAGGAGAGCTTCCGAGGACTCGCCACTGTGAGCTTGAGGAAGTCTGCCAACCACGTTCAGTTCCTGGATCTAATTTACTACAATACCTGAGCACCTATTACCTTGTCTCAAATGGCTCTTGTGAGGATAAAGCCAGGAGCTCAAATAGTCAGGTGTCAGGTAATGAGGAAGGGACATGTAAGAAGCCCCTCATTCACCCTGAAGAGTGAGGAGGAAACGTTACTTAGAGTGCTTCCCTAGCCCCCTGTTGCCAGGCCTCACATGGGCCAGACACTTTGGTCTTATTATGCCAAAGGAGGTCTGCCTGGAGATGGCCCACTGGCAGCATCACTTGTGAAGACAGGGCCATGCTGTTCAAGGCTTTGGTTGCTGGGACCTTCCTGTTGCTGTGTGAAGGCTGGGCTTCCTGAGCAAGCTGGGGGAAGGTCCTGTCATTCCCAGGCCTTCTTTTATCCCCAGCATGGACCCAGACACACCTGTGACAGGCTGGGATTGTGCGGGGGAATGGAAGGTGGAAAACAGGATCCTCAGGCCTGCAGGTGACCGGCAAGAGAGAGAGTAGACTGAGACAGTAGGTGTGGGGGAATGTGACCCCTTCATGTACTGAGTACTTGCCACATGCCAGGCACTGTGCCCAGCACTTTTCTAGCCCAGTCTTATTCCCACCAGGGTACCAGCAGGTTGCTATTTCTCGCATCTGTAAGTCCTCCAGCTGCCACCTCATGTCTTGCTCCCCTTTACTGCAGACCTCAGCAGAGCTGTCCCCATTTGCTGCCTCTAGTCCTCAGCTCTCATCATCCCTTCCATCCAGGCCAGTCTCTTGCCCCATCACTTCCTTAGGTGACTCGTCAAGGTCCCCAGTGACTTCCATGTTGCTGAACTCAGCGGTCAATTCTCAGTCTGCATTTTACCTGACTTCTCAGCACACTGAACACAACTGATTTCTCCCTCCTCCTTGCGGTAGTTTCTTCACTTGGATTCCAGAATGCCACACTTCCCTGATTTTCCTCTAACCTCAGAGACCACTCCTTCTCAGCCTTGTTTCTGGCTCTTTATCTTCTTCCTGACCTGACCCAAGCTTGGCCCTCAGTTCTCTATCAATCCTCCCCTCCCAGGCTGCTCTCATCCAGGCTTACGGCTTTAAACGTCTTCATCTGATGACTCCACATCTGTATCTCCAGCCCCCACTTCTCCTAGGAACGCCACTCTCCAAATGCTCCCCAAATTCAACATGTCCAAAGTAGAACCTTTGACTTCCTGCCCCAAACATTCCTCTCCATCTTCCTCAGTTAATGGTAACTCCCTCCTTCCAGTGGCTGAGACCAAACAGCTTGGAGTCACCTTTGACGCTTCTTTTTCTCACATTCCACCTCCAATTTGTCCGCAAATCCTAATGGCTCTACTTTCAAAATATAACAGAATCCAGCCACTTCTTTCTTTCTCCCTTTCCCCACCCAGTCCAAGCCACAGTCACTTCTCACCTGGCGACTGCAGCAGCCTCCTGCTTCCTCAGTCCTCCATCCAGCAGCCATATAAATCAGATCACGTCGCTCCTCAGCCCAGGCCTATGAAGCTCCAGGATCAGGCCCCCAACTACCTCTCTAACCCCATTACCTTCCTCTCTCCTTGCTCACTATGCCCAGCACTTCTCATGGTTGTTTCAGCCTCCAGCCTCTTCCTCCAGTTACTCCAGTGGTCATTTTAAACTGTGCCAGGATGGGAAGTGGGTTGGGAAGTATAGCTCTAGGCTTGCTGACCTTTTTCATTGACCTTTCCTCTATAGGACCCCGGGCCAGTATGCCCCTTGTAAAATGAGCATGATCATATCAACCCTGCCTACCTCATTGGTCATGGATGCAAAAAACCCTGCTTTATCCTAGAATTTTTGGGAGCAGGAGCCAAGGGCCTATGAAGGTGGAAAGCTTTCTGGAAACCTCGGGGGCCTTTTTACCCTGGTAAGTTCCTAGGACAGGGATTAGCCAGATCCCAAGCCTTGTGGCACACACGGAGATTAGCCTCAGGGCCCACCCCCTCAGGAACCTGGGACCCTGGTGGAAGGCATTCCACTATTCGCCATCTAAGGGCACAAACGCCTGGAGCCCTGGTGCAATGGGTGGAATGAACACCCTCCACAGGGCGCTGCGGACCACAGAGCTTTCAAGTCTAAACTTCTGCTTCAGAGAAGGCCCTGCCATTCAGCCTTGGCTCTGGCTTTTCAGCTCTCAGAGTTATAAGCCTGGCTGGTGGAATAGGCAGCTCTGACCCTGGGAAATCTTAGGAGCAGAGCCTGGGGTCCAAGGTGCCAGCTCTAGGAAGATAGTCCCGGAGTCCCACTCTGCCCAGGGCAGGGAGAGGGTGGCTCCACAGCAGGTTTTGCAGCACACCCCCTTCCCTGGGGAAGGCTCGTTTGGGCCAGGAAGCCCTGTCACCTGAGGGACAGCTAGAGCTGACCCTCCTTGGCCAGGTTGTTTAAGCTCCATGTTGTAATGCAGCTCATTCTAGGTCTAGGAAACCTCAGAATCCAGCTCAGCCTATAGCCTCTGGCCTGGTTATGTATGTGTGTGACAGGAGCAGATGGACAGAGGGCTCATCGTGTCCCCCAGCCTTCCCTGGGAACTGGGGAAAAGCCTCATTAAACAGGAGTCTGTAGCCAGGCCACAGGAGAAGTGCCAGGTGGGTGGAGGTGGGGCTGAGAACCTGCCGGCAGGTGGAGGCCCTAAGGTGCCAGGGCTCCAGGGCAGAGCACTGAGGGCCTTGCCAGTCCTTCCCACGTTCGTGCAGGCTGCCTCTCAGCCTCACTCCCCAGCCCCCTGCGTGCCCGGTGGTGGCAGCCAGGGGAAACTGTCTGGTGCAGGACCTGGTGCCCCACGCCCCTCTCAGCCAATGGCACGTCCCGCTCCACGGCCTCAGCACAAGGCTGTCCCAGGGCCAGGCTGCCCAGCCAGCAGGGTGGAGTTGCCTGGGGCCTGCCCTGTGTCTGGGGAGCCCAGTGACTGGAGCTCTGCCCCTCTCCTCCCCTCATGGTGACTGTGCCCTGCCTCCGAAGGAAGGAGGCAGGCCTGGGTTGATCGCCCCCACCGGTCCCTGAGTATCTCAACGGCACAACCTCACCTCTTACCTCTGAGGGCAGAGTGCCAGGCATAGCGCTGGCCCTCAGTAAGCGCTCCCAGCATGGTGGGATGTATAAACAAATGAAAGACCTAACAGCAGACCATACTCCTTGATCAGCACACTCCAAGACCCCTGTTCTTGGCCTTTGCATACAGCCCCTTTCCCCTCTCCCCTCCAGACTGCAGCACTCCAGGACGAGTCTAGACTCTGAGACCCTTGGACTGGGAACAGCCTTAGCAGAGGCGTCCTTCCTGCCACGGCATTGCTCTTACTGTTCTTCCCCACGCCGGTTCAAAACCTATCGTTCCGAAGGCGGTCCTCATCCTTCTGGGATCTTTTCGTTGGCCCATGGCTGGAAATTCCTCA